ATCTTCAACATTTACTGACTTAGAAGCTCAAATTCTTTTGAAAGACAATAAAATATACATAATTACTTGAAGCTTTACTTTGATTTATTTCAGATTTTATTTTTAAATGTATATTTTTATTCCAAATTGTTATGATGAAAACATTTCCAATGAATAAAGAGGTACCGAACATCTGGTCAGGCTGATGTATCACATTTTTATGAAGATTGGTTCCTTTTAACAGGAAGGTTTCTGACCATCATACAGAATCACAAAAGTAGGATTTATTTAGGCAATGGCCTGTACTTATACAGAGCTTCAGAATCTCTGTTTATTGCTCAGAGGCTCAGTTTCTTTTGAGAAACAAAAAAAGTGAAATTTTAACTTTTTTCCATCAAATTTATACAAATGGCAAAATAATTTCCAGTCTCTTATTACCTGATTAAAAAGATGCAGGATCATCTGGTCAGGCTGGTATATCAGGTTTCTAAGATTGGTCCTTTTCATTGACCTGGTTTTAGGAAGCCTTCTGTTCCACATTGAAAACCACATGAGAAGGAGACTGATGGGAAATGTTCTGTTCTTATATAGACCATTAATTGATGGTTTATTTAAACAGTGGTATTTGTTTATTCATTGTTTCTCAAATGTAAACAAATATCATTTGGATTAAATCATGAATAATTCAATGGAAGCATTTATAACCAACCTTGGAGGGGAAAAAATGCTCAAAATCTATTCTATGTTTAAATAAAAATGACAGTAACTCAGGTGAGTTATGATTGATTTACCTTTATCCAGTTTTAGTATGTTTCTACTATCAGTCTTTTTCCAATGAATTATTCTCCCAAATATAATTTGTTACTGTTTTAGTTCAGTTGAAAAAAAGACATTAAATAATAAAACAGCATCAAACTATTTTTAGTACAATTTCTACTAAATAGCCTTGGGGAAATATTGGTTCCACATTTATATTTTACTTTAATAATAAATGAACATCTTGTTTTCTATTTTCTGACTAGAGTTTTACAATGAGTTCAAGCTAAAACAGTTAGGTATGTGTAGGTTGCTGTTGGAATATTAGAGTTTAAATTCTAAATTAGAGTTTCTTTTAATGAAGCCACAGATCAGCATTTTTTATCCATAGTCAGATTAATTCATTACCTTCAGCTTGTTAAGCCTAAACCTAGAATAACTTCAGCATCTACAGCTGTTAACAAGGAATGATAGTTTGTCTGTTGACTCAGATCAGTTCCTCTTCTGATGGGAGGTTTTTGTACGACTGTGAATCACTGTGTGAATGGGAGGCTGTTACGCTGCTGACAATAGTAAACTCCTCCATCCTCAGCCTGAACTCCAATGATTATCAGTGTGAAGTCAGTCTGTTGTGCTGTTGCACGAAACCTTTCAGGGACTCCAGACTGACGCTCTGTGGTATCATAAAACAGGAGTTTTGGAGCTCCTCCAGGTTTCTGCAGGTACCAGTTGATGTCATCACCTATACTTCTGTCAGATTTACATCTGATGGAGACGGTCTGTCCCTGAACAGCAGACTGAGCTGCAGGAGTCTGATTCAGGACGATGTCTCCTGAAGAACCTTTTAACAGAAAACACACCTTTCAGTAAAATACATTAAACATAAATAGTAAACATTGAAACGTTTATTCTGCAAGTTTTAATGTACATAAAACCAGAACACTCGCACAATAGCTTTTAAGCAGAGTCTCACCCTGAACCAGGAGCTCCAGGATGGTCAGCAGTAGAGTCAGTAACATCATCATTGTGCTGCTGGTGGTTCAGTGGCTCTGAAAGGCCT